AACAACAACAACATCAGTTGAGAATGTCTTCATGTTACCTTTTTCCTAAAGGATGTTTTTGCTGAATTAGAATTTTGGATTGACAGTATTTTTCTTTTAGCATTATAAAAATATTCTGCTTCCTTCTGGCTTCCATCGTTAGTGATGAGAAATCTACAGTAATTTGAATTGTTCCTCTATAGGTGATATGTCTGCTGTCAGGATTTTTACTTTGTCTTAGTTTTGAGCAGCATTTGAGTAAATGACTGGGCATGGATGTTTTGGAGTTCTCTGAACTTTTTGAATTGATTGGTTTATGCCTTTTGCTACATTTGGGAAGCTTTCAGCCATCATTTCTTTAAATTTTTGTAGCACTACACTATTTCTTCTCCTTCTGGGAATCTTATGACACAAATGCTTAACCTTTTGCTATTTTCTTCATCCCTGAGGCTCTGTTTATTTATTTATTTTTAGTCTTACTTGTGCAGATAGGATAATTTTTAGTGATCTGTCTTCAAGGGGACTGCTTCTTTCCTCTATTGACTTCGTTTTGCTACTGAGCCAATACCATGGTTTTTGTGCTTTTCAGCTCTAAAATCTCTATCTAGTTCTTTTTGTTTATGTCCTATTTCTTTACTTATGTTTTCCCCTTTCAAGAGTATTTGTGATTGCTTTAGTAGCATTTTTTAAAATTGTGATTTGGGTGAAAGTTTACAGACAAATTCACTTTCCATATAGCAACTTACATACACTTTGTCTCATGACATTGACTGCAATTTCCCACAATGTAATGGTTCCCATCTCATTTCCTCTCCATAATTGCCTCTTCCCTGTGTCCTTCCCTCTCATGCATTCGTGCTCCCTGAGCTGTCTCCCTGTGCATACATAGCCCTTCTATTCTCCCACTATTGATCTCTCCAAGGAACGTATCTACCTAATGTAAATGTTCAGCTCATATGCCTGTCTTTTGTTTGGCTGGAAGCCTCAGGAGTGGGTTCAATTCCAGACTTGAAGAGCAGCTAGAGGCCAAAGTCTCAGTGGCTCCATCAGGCTCTATCAGACCACCAAACCTGGTCCCCCTCTTTTTATTTTTTTAAATGATTTTGAGTTTTGTTTCACATTGTTCTCTCACTCTATCTAGGATCTCCTACATAGCTCCCCTTCTGAGTGGCTGACAATGGTAATCGAGCACCATCTAGTTCTTCGGGTCTCATAGTCTTCTAGGTGGAGGATCTCATGGTGCACCAGTCACTTGGACTAATTGTTTCTATGTGTCTTTGTTTTTCTTCATCCGTCTTTGTTCTGGACAAGGAGAGACCCATTGTTGCATCTAGATGGCCGCTTGCAAGATTTTAAGATCCCAATAGTGCTTTAATAATATTTTTATCACTCACTGCTGTGAAGTCAGCCCTGACTCATAGTGACTCCTCCTTGGGTTTCTGGGGCAGTATCACTATGGATGTAGAATACCCAACCTTCCTTCCAAGGAGTGGCTGGTGGGTTTGAACCACCAGCCTTCTGGTTAGCAGTCAAATGCCTCAGGCACTACGCCACCAGAATTTTTGTCAGATAATTCCAACATCTGTGACATCTCAACATTGGCACCAATTGATTGTTTTTCTGAGTTGAGATTTTTTCCTGGTACTTTATATGCTTAGTAATTTTGGGCTGTATCCTGGATATTTTGAATATTATATTATGAGATTATAGTGCTTATTTAAAGCCTGTTGGGAATAGGAGGAGCTCTGGTGGAGTAGTGGTTAAATGTTCAGCTGCTAATCAAAAGGTTGGTGGTTTGAACCCACCACCCACTCCACTCTAGAAAGATGTGGCAGTGTGATTCCATAAATATTTACAGCCTTGGAAACCCTGTGGGGCAGTTCTATTTTGACTTTTGGGGTTGCTGTGAGTCAGAATGGACTGGATGGCAGTGGGGGTATAGGAAATAGTAATATTTTTTGTTTGGCAGGCAATTGATCTATCTAGCGTCAGGCAAGTTTCAACCCACCTGTTCTGTGGGCCACGATTCCAATGTCAGATCACTTTGCAAAGCCTTGCAGATATGTCTAATGTATGTGCCACTCCATGGCCAGTCTGAGATATGGGTATTGATCCTTTTGTCAGTTCAGTCACCTTACTCTTTAGTATGATGATTAGGAGCAGATCCACACATGTATAGCTCGGGGACAAGCCTGGGACTTCATAAACATCTTTGTGGGGTCACTTTCTTGAACATCTCTCTCTCTCTCTGATCTCCTCAGTACTTTGTGATTCCTTGGGGATTTCCTGTTTTGAACCTCTAGTCAGAAAGCTGGAGCTTTAGTTACTCTGTCCTGACAGGCACATTTATGGCTATGCAAACAACGGGAGGACCAGAGAGGGAAAATGGTACACTCCCTGTTGGTTCTGTGGTACTTTCCAATTCATGTATCACTGTTTGCTTTTCAAAGTCCTCAAATACGTGTTCCATGCATTCTTTCTAGGGTTTATATCTGCATTCAGTAGAAGAGAAAAGGTGGAGTGTGCTTACTTCTTACGTGACTGCTTAACGTTTTTTGTTAAGTACCATTAAGCTTAAATATCATTGGCCTGTGATATAGCTTTGATTTTCAGGTTTATCAAGATAGAATAAAGCATTTAGAGGCTTTAAAGTGAATGCCATAAAATAGATGTCCAATAAATACTTCCTGAATGAATGCAAGTTGTGATTTTTATCCTCTGTGCAAATTTGATACATTTGTAGGTTTATTCTGTTGAACATTCCTAATAACTAAGCATGCTTAGAAGATGTTCCTAGTGAGTGAACCATTCAACATGTTTCTAGACTCAGAAATGTCAGGACAATTTTCTGCCAAAAAATTGGGAAGGAGAAATGCTGGTTACTGTCATCTTGGGAGCTCACAGGTTCAGGATATAAGTAGGGAAGTCTGACTTGTATGTGTTTACATTTTGGTAAACTGTGTTATATTTTCTTGACTTCTACTTTATTTTTATACTCAGAGATGTGATAATGGATCATCAAGCGTCCACCATCAAACCTCGAAGAATCCAAAACCAAAATGTCATTCACCGCTTGGAACACCGACGGATCAGCTCAGGCAAGGCAGGTACCCACTGGCATCAGGTCCGAGTGTTCCACCAGAATGTCTTCCCCAACTTTACAGTTGTCAATGTTGAGAAGCCTCCTTGTTTCTTGCGTAAATTCTCACCGGATGGACGCTTCTTTATTGCTTTTTCTTCAGACCAGACTTCTCTTGAGATCTATGAGTACCAGGGCTGCCAGGCAGCAGAGGACCTACTTCAGGGGTATGAGGGGGAGATCCTGTCCAACGGCAATGACCAGCGGTCAGTCAATATCCGGGGCCGACTCTTTGAACGCTTTTTTGTCCTGCTGCACATTACCAACGTAGCAGCCAATGGCGAGCACCTGAACCGGGAGTGTAGCCTCTTCACAGATGACTGCCGGTGTGTCATTGTGGGCTCAGCTGCCTATCTCCCGGATGAGCCTCACCCTCCTTTCTATGAAGTGTATCGGAATAGTGAATCAGTGACCCCCAACCCACGGTCTCCTCTAGAGGATTATTCCCTCCATATCATTGACCTTCACACTGGCCGCTTGTGTGACACTCGCACATTCAAGTGTGATAAAGTGGTCCTATCACACAACCAGGGGCTGTACTTGTATAAGAACATCTTGGCCATCTTGTCAGTGCAGCAGCAGACCATCCATGTCTTCCAGGTGACTCCCGAAGGCACCTTCATTGATGTGAGGACCATTGGCCGCTTCTGCTATGAGGATGACCTGCTCACTGTGTCAGCTGTTTTCCCTGAGGTACAGCGGGACAGTCAGACAGGCATGGCCAATCCCTTTAGGGATCCTTTCATCAACTCCCTAAAACACCGGCTACTGGTGTACTTGTGGCGCCGGGCAGAACAGGATGGTAGTACAATGGCCAAGAGGCGCTTCTTCCAGTATTTTGACCAACTGCGGCAGCTGCGCATGTGGAAAATGCAACTTCTGGATGAAAACCATCTGTTTATCAAGTACACTAGTGAGGACGTTGTAACACTACGAGTCACAGATCCATCACAGGTATAAGTGAACTCTCTTGCCCTTTACCCTTCCAATCTCCTTGACAAAATGGGAAGTCATCTTTGTCTATGGCCAGTCCCCTGGCAATACACATTTTATGTAGTCTTGAATTTTTACTATCCTAGGGCTCAGTCAAACTTAAAATCAGCTTTATTTTTCTTTGGTCCCAGGTATTTATTTGAACAAATGGTAGCTAAAATCTCAAACTGTTGCCCTTTTTTTGTGTGTGTAGTGGGTGTACCGTATTAATTTATTTAAAGGAATGGTACAAATAAAAGCATGTAAGTGGATGTTTTGGTACAATTTATAGAAAAGGTAAACCCAACATGCATGTACTGTCTTAGTAACCACAGAGTAACCACAGAGTAACCACAGGTGACCCCTGTGGGTTTGGGGAAGCCAGGCTAAAGCTTAGCTGTCCATCTCGATCTCCTAAGGTGTGCTTGTCAAAGAGATACTCTGCCTGGCCAGATTCTAGGGCCCTTATCTTGTACAAGTTGATTACATAGTCACACAATTCTTTGTTGAACTTCACTTACTCATTTAGGTGATGAGTCTCAATGAGGTCACATAAATGGGGCTTATTCTTGTCAGTGGTCAGTTCATGCAGTCCCAGTAGTGACCGACACATACTTTTTCCCCAAGTGTAACACACACTCCATTTTATTCAGCCCTCTCTCCCAGTCATCATGATCTGGTGTCTGATATCCTGAAGAAAGATTTGGCCACCTTATTGCTTGTATAGCTTCATCAGTTTCTCAGCAGGTTCTTTTCCTCATGAGGTTGGTAATGGAAATATTTGGCAAAATTCTTCAAAACCACATCATGTGGTCAAAGTAGTAAGACATGGACAGATAGACATAGGAGGCTTAGAGCTCCAGGGTGATCTGGCAGTTGATGGCTGCTTCTGAGTTCTTGTTGTAGTTCTGGTGTGTCTACAAGGAGGGGTGTGGTCATCATGGTGGGTGGCTGAGGAGAGGTGTTGATGACTGCATGGCACTTGAAAGGCAGTGGGGACCTTGCCCACAAGAGCTCTGTGAGGAGATGGCAGATGGCTGGTGTTGAATAGCTGGTTGCAGGGTAGTTGTTGAATGCCAGGTACCATCCAAGTGCTGTTGAAGCAGGAAACTGTGGCAACTCTGCAAAGAATGTCTCACACTGTTGAGATTTAGGTAGTGAACTCTGTAGTTACTGTCCTGTAGAAGTGTAGAACATTTCCAATACCCTGGAAATGGAATCCCAGATGCTACACAGGTCAAGGTTTGGACTTCCTGTGGACAGTCTTGTCTTGGTTTTATAGGACTATGCTTATTAGTCTGACTGTTTTTATTTTGGCAATGGGAAAGGGCTCATCTTACCGGGAAAAAAAAAAAGTCCTCTAAAAGCCTAGTCTCACTTTCTTGATTAAATGGTTAATGACAGTTCACTTCTTCACAGAGTTTTATTTATAAAGTAACTAATAGGTAAGTTCATTTGGCAGAGTTTTACAACTTTACTCTGACTCTGCCCTCGTGCTGGGACATAGATTGTAGAGCTGTGAAAAGATCGAAAATTAGCCAAAATTTCTGGTCCACCAAATGGTCAGGATTGCAGTATCCTGAAGGTTTTTCAGTTTGGATGGAAAGTGTTGGTAGGGAGAGGGGCATGTCTCACAGAGAAGTACGAATAAGGTGGTGTCCAGAGCACAGAAACCGCTAAGCCTCTTGGATTGAAAACATCAGTTTGAAATTCAATGGAACTTGGGCATTTCTCTTTGAGAAGCTGTCCACTTTGGTGTTGACCAATAAGAGACCTACCTTTCTGTATCTTTGTTCTGTTTGCCTCTCCAATCTCCTGTCTCCCCATTGTCTCTTTAGATGTTAATTTGGAGGTATAGAACAACCAGCAAGCCAGAGTCAGGAAGCATTGGCAGCTCTGCAAAGAATGTCTCAAACTGTTGAGGTTTAGTCAACTCTGTAGTTACTATCCTGTAGAAGTGTAGAGCATTTCCAGTACCCTGGAGAACAGCCCGCAGCCCACACAGTGAGCTGAGTCTGTTACTTCCCATTGACCTGCAGCCGATCCTACCACCAAGGGATGCGCAGTACAGCACATCATCTAAGACCTTACTAGCCACCTGTAGTAAACTGTTTTCTAACATTTTTCTTTTTTTTTTTTTTTTTC